AAAGCACGATGGACGTTGTTCACAGTTGGTGCCTGTGGGAGCAGATGTCTGTCAACCCCAGCAAAACTGTGAAAATCCCCTTCACCAGGAGGAGAAAATTGGAAGATCTAATGCCACTTTCCCTCAATGGTGAGGCCATTCCATTTGGAACGGAGGTGGAATATCTTGGCATTGTCCTTGATAAAAAACTCACCTGGAACGCTCACTTGGAAAAAGTTTCACATAAAGCCAAACTGTCCCTATGGACATATGGAAGGATTTGTGGTAAAACTTAGGGTTTAGGTCCCAAACAAATCCATTGGATTTATGTGATGATTGTCAGACCAATGATCACTTATGGTGAAATTGCCTAGTGGCAGAAGGCTTTACAGAAAACGGTCCAGGCGAAGCTCTCTGGCTTACAGACAGGATTGTCTGGCCATCAGTGGTGGTGTACAACACCGTCAGCGGCCATGGAGATCCTTCTAGATCTACCTCCTCTCCACATTTTTCTGGAGGGAGAGGCTAGATGGACTGTTGCAGATCCAGGGCAGATATATCAACCTGCCAGGAATCCATGCGACTGTTTTTTAAGCGGAAATTTACGCTATTGAGTTGCGTGCGGAGAGATTGGAAGAATCCAACTTCTTCACAAATCAATGAAAATATGCTCTGACAGTCAAGCGGCGTAGGAAGCTCTTGGCTCCTACCAAGCAACGTCTAAATTGGTAGCAAATTGCTAAAAACGACTCTCCTCGATAGAAAGACTTAACAGATTGTCTCTGGTCTGGATTCCTGGCCATACTGGCCTGGAGGACAATGAGGCTGCTGACCCCCTTGCAAAGGAGGGCGCTGCAAGCAGCTTCATCGGATCAGAACCTGTCATTGGCATTGCTTTAGGCTTTGCCAAACAAAGATCGAACACCTGGATGGCAAGAAGATTTATGGACTTCAGGCAGAATCTTTCAGGATTGGCTAACTCCAAGGTGTTTATTCACCCTTCGAAGCTTGATACCAAATAGTTGTTAGACGACAGTAGGGATGAACTACGATGTCTAACAGGCCTTCTTACTGGTCACTGCCATTTGAATTATCATATGCATTGACTCAGACTGTCAGAAGACAGTGTGTGTCGCCTCTGTTTGAAAAATGATGAAATAGCAGAGCACATACTTTGTGCCTGCCCCGCTGGGGACCGAATGAGGTTCTTAGAGTTCGGCAGGGCCGTACACTTACCATCTGACCTGAAAGACCACTCACCATACAAACTAATCGGCTTCGTTAAGAAGCAGAATTTATTTGGTCGAGTGTGAATATGTGTGTGCCACAATAAACTCTTGCGGGTTGCGGTGGAGGGGCGAATAGACCCACTCACTTTGGACCTAACCTAATCTAACCTCTTATGTGGTAGCCACTATATGCAAAATACTGAGCTATAAATATAATTAAATTGGATACTTTTGTCACAATGCACATTTTGGAATATCTGTCAAATTCTTATAGAAATTTGTACAATTGTCTTTTTGAATATTTAATATAGATGAACTTTGTCTATTACACCAAGTAATTTGGACGAATCGTTTGAAAGTTATCACAATAAGATTAACTTGACGCAACGCAGTAAGTCATTACGCGCCGCGTCTACTGTAAGACGATGGTGGACGATGCGCAGGGGTAGAGAGGCGATCTAAGCAATGAAGCGCCATTGCCGAGAACGAGACCCGAACGCGGGCAGACATCGTTGATGGTTGTGTTAGTTTTGCGAATTTCTTTATTGGTAAAATAATTCGATTCTCGAAGATATTCATTACTTAGTGCATAGGGATATTTTTTCAGTTACTGTATTTTTATAGTGAAAATATGAGTTACTACGTGTTACCCGCTCTTATATTAACATACAGCCGAAGCTACTGAATTTAAAATCTTGAAATATACAGGTAGGTTCTTTGTATAGGGTAAATAAGCATCAAGAAAGAGAATCAGGAATTTCCACCCCCAAGCGAGAAAAATAGGGGTTAGGTTAGGTTAGGTTAGGTTAGATTATATTGAATTTCGTCAGTTTTGAAGTTGGAAAGTTGGGTAAATATAAAACTATTGTATCTATTCGTTTAAAATGGTCTGTCATGGAAATTAATGTGACAAACCAAATTCTACGCGGGCGAAGCCGCGGGCAACAACTAGTATTACTATATGGTGTCGTTAAGCGATTTTCAGCCAATTTTTCTCTACGAATTCAAATTGAACCAAAGCGTTGCCGAAACGGACCGAAAAATTAACCAGTCAATTGGCAATAATAGTGTTAATGAACGCACTGTTGGTTTGTGACATTTCTTTCTGGAGATTTCAGTCTACAAGTAGTTGACCTATACAGTAATTCAGAACGAGGAGAGACAGGACAGGTAGAGACTGACTCATCACGAACTGTACGTGGGATGGCGGAAGAATTGGGCGTCAGATTCCATGCGGTTTTTGATGGTCAAAAATATCGAAAAGAATGCTCAATGTTCTTCTTGGCTCTTGCGCAACCAAAACGATCTTATTATGGATCGGATCGTCACGTGTGGAGAAAAGTGGATCCTCTACGACAATATGAGACATTCAGGACAGTGGTTGGACAGCGATGAACCACTTACGCACTTTGCAAAGACAAAAATCCACCACAAACATCACAGTAGAAACCTATTGTGATAAAATCTACGAAATGTCCCGAAAATTGCGTTAGCAGCAGCCGCATTGGTCAATAGAGGAGGTCCAACCCTGCTCCACGACAATGGGCGTCTGCACGTTCCACAAATTGCCGTCTGAAAATTAAACGAATTGAACATCGAAGTTCTACCTCACACATCATACTTCCCTGACTTCTCGCCAACACACTACATCTTTTCGATCACTTCGATAACTTTCTCAGAACCTTCGCCAATCAGGATCGGGCAAAGACGCCCTTCGTCGCCTTCATCGAATCAAGTGCTACCAATTTTTATGCTATCGGAATTTATCGAGTCGTGTTACATTGGCAAAAGTGCACTGATTCAAATGGCTCTTATGTCGATTAATTTAAATAAGTATTCACCGAGATGTTGCAATTCGAAATTATGAGATTGAACTCAAATTTCGACTTCAATCCTGAAATTTCGATGTGAAATTACGACTTTAAACTCTGTATTTCGACTGTTAACTCGAAATTTCAAATTCAAACTCGAAATTTTGACTTGAATCTCGAAATTCTAAAGACTTTAAACTCTGAATTTTGACTGTGAACTCGAAACTTCAACTTTAAACTCGAAATGTTGACTTTCATCTCGAAATTTCGACTTTAAACTCGAAATTATGAAATTGAACGGGAGATTTCGGTTTCAATCTCGAAATAACGACTTTCAACTCGAAATTTATCCTTTCAAAGGGGGCGACTATGTTACGCCACTGCGCTGGCAAATATTTCTTAGAAGTGAATAACTTTCTTATCTTACGAACTCAATGCGCAGGCGTAATGTGCAAGATGCTAGACCCCTACAGGGTAGCAACAACCCTGTAGCGGGAGTCGATGACTAGTTGTGAAACAGTTATAACCTACATTAAAAACAATATTGCTTGCATCCAGTAGTTATCATTTCAAAAAAATACAGTCCACTATCAACCAGCAAAAATCAGTAAATCTTTAGTAGCGAAAGAACATACTCGTATCGCACCGAGATTCCACATTTGGGCAGATGGCGCTGTACGTAACTTCCTTGATATAATTCAAACTCACTTTACATATATTTCTTCATTTGAATAAAGTATTTTTTCATTACGCGCGCCAGATGCCTTATTTGTAACCCTCCTTTGCGCGCCTGCTGCCTTCGGCTTGATAGCTAATTTTAAAGCTCCCTCTCCGGAATCGGGAAATATCAATGGTCATTTTTCTAAACAATATACTTACGAATGATTGATCCCAAATATATAAAATAAATATAGTTACTAAAAAATGAAAAATAAATATAGTT